AAAGAGTTTAAATAACAATGCCGAATTTTGAAAAATATCATTAGATTTTGCAGGTACGCAAAATAGTTAGGTACTGTTTACATTATAGCACTATTGAAAAATGTGTCAAATTTGATTGGCCAGAGAGGCCAGAGAATTTTAATACCGTGAAACTTACGAAATTACGTAAAACACACTTAAAACTGTCTGGAATTTGACATATACTGTCTTGTAACTTGTAAACAAATATGGCGGAGAACGAGTAATATTTTGACGTTTAGCATTGTATTTATATGCATTCGTATTTGTTTCGCTAATTTTTTCGTTGTTCTCGTAGTTTTTTCGGTGGTTTTTTACTATATTTCATAGATTTTGAACGTTGTGACTTTCTTTGGTGCATTTCGTATCCATACAACACGAAATATGGAATATGGAGGCCTGTTTTTGAGTTTGGCCACAGTTTTATCCTACCTGCAGGCTGGCGTAGAAAGCACGATCACTATTTTTCTTAGGAAAATAATGAAAATGAATAGTTCTGTCTGCACCTTTTCGGGAATGGCATTCGTATACACAGCAGTTTGTGTTATTCTTGGACCGCTTGGACTTGGAGGCAGATGCCATTGAATTCCTGTAATAATAGCACCTCACAGAACCACAATAAAAGCTTTCCCTTTATTATTTCCCACTTTTCGACAAAAACACGTAATTTACATTAGGAACGAACAAAAAAGCAAGAAAATATTCCAATATGGTATGTAAACAAACGATTTATTACTCGTTAAGTTAGTGTCAAATATTTCCGCCAGGTGCCGCATTGATTTTTGAAATCGCGAAATCGCCAATTATACGAGAGTCAACCTGCCAAATTTCCAAGGCTAATGCTACGCCAATAATATCTGGAAGGCAAAAAGTGCTGTTTTCAATGCCAATTGGACTGTATGCTTTTGTTTTGTTACACAATTGGCCAATTGGAACTTTGGATCAATATCTCGGTACAAGTTTCTCTGTTTTTGGATTAGTGCTTCCCGAGTGCCATTTTGGCAGTCCCAATTGAAAACGCTGTTGCTTAGAAACGGCCTGATTTTGGAATATTTTTTCGATTTTGAAAGCTTATTTTATGAAAATTAGTACGCTATTTTTCGAAATTCAAAATTTTGCATTATACAGGGGTTAGCGAGAAGGTAAAGGTAAGTTCGTCAGAAATCAGATAAATCCTGTAGATATTGTGCCAAGTGTTAGGTACTTTGGGTCAATATCTCAAGATGATTACTTCTGTTTTGTAAATCAGGCCCCTGAGCGCCTTTTTGCCAGCACAATAGTTTGGGCCAGGAAAGAGAGGTTGAACCTCGCAAACTCGACACAAGTTCCGTTTTATTTTTTTTTCTGGTAGAACAAGGGCTGCTTATTATGGGTCTAACTTTTTCCAACAAAATTTCACCCTGAAACATCCCCCTGAAGGTCATTTTTTGTGGTTTTTCCGAAACGTAGCGCTTACGCTGTTTTACAAAAAAATACGTTTATAGTAAATTAAAGAGAACTAAATTCTCTACAATTTATCCAGCGACAGCATATGTCTATCACCTACCCTTTAGTCGGGGTGGCGCTCTAAAGTTGAATGACCTCGAAAAAAGATGTTTTTAAATTATTTTTTTTACTGAACAGTTAAGTGATGGATTACAAACCATACAGCAAATACTCATAAATAATTGGCCGATTTTTTGGCATATCTTTGAAAACAGCACTTACCATACTTTGCGCAATTTTAGGCTCGTGATTTTTTCGACCCCTGCATCATGTGATTAGGGACATCCCAAGAAAAGCTATTCCATCATGAAAAATCTACAGAAAAGGAGCTTTCAAAATCCTATATGCTGATCGATACCGGTTCAGCCGTTTTCACGCAGCAGCCTTTTGAAAATTGTGGTAACAAGAATTTAACCCATTTTTTATTGTGGTATATCTGCCTCTAAAAGGCCCTTAGCAGAAAACTGCCGAAAACGTCTAGAAATATTGACAGCAGTTTATTAATGGTCCATACTGGATCGCAAAAAAAAATTTATTGCCGATCACCCTGTATAACATTTTTTTTTTTTTTTTACGGATATGCGCACTCGCAAGGAAATGTCCTATCACGCTCGAGAAGCGGCAAGTGCGCGGAAATGTCGGTGTATGTTGGTCTTGAAACGGTTCAGGTTGTAACCTGCAGGGAAAACCGTCGCAGGGAGTTTATTCCACAGCGATGCTGTTCTCCAGAGATATGAATTCTGATATAATGAGGTTCTTGGTGCCTCTAGTTTGACAGTAAATTCATGGGTACCGTCTGTTTGACGGGTTCGCCTGGTAGGTGCTACTCTCGGTGGAATCATACGTGCCAACTCTTCAGAGCATTTTCCGTGATAGTACCTGTAGAAGAGAGATAAATCGCCCACAGATCTGCGATGTTCGAGACCATCCAAGTTACAAGTAAGTGCGGGGTCATTGATCAGCTTGATAGCTCGTTTTTGCACCGTGTTCAAAAGCATTAAGGTATGTTTGGGTGCTGCACTCCATATATGTGAGCAGTACTCCATAGTTGGTCGAATCTGGGCTTTGTAGAGTGTCAGCAATTGGCTTGGTGTGTACAGATGTCTTTTACGAAATAGCACCCCCAGCTTTTGGGAGGCCCTTTTAGCAATATCTGCCACGCGACTGTGCCAAGACATGTTGGTCTCTGCAGTAACCCCCAAGATGTTCAACTGACTCTGTAATGTGACAGCACTTCCAGATAGCATGATGTTTGGCTCACCGGTGCTGGTCTTTTTTGAAAACAGAGCTGCTTGGGTTTTCTGCGCGTTGAACTGTACAAGGTTTTTGTTACCCCAGTCCTCTATTATCTCCAGGTCGTTATTTATCTGTGATATTTGAGTTAGTCTAAGATGATGGAATTCACGTGCGGAAAGACCTGTGGGTGGTATGAGTGAGGAGACTACATTGCCATCGTCTGCAAAGCAATAAAGTGGATTTATTGTTTTATCTATGAGGTCATTTATGTAAATCAGAAAGAGTTGGTGAAAGGATTGCTCCCTGTGGCACACCAGCATTTATTTGGTAAGAGTTGGAGTTCTGGCCATCCAGTGCAACATAAATGGATCTGTCCTTTAGGTAACTTTCAAACCAAGTGCAAAGTTTCGGCGATAATCCCATTGCTTTGAGCTTGTTGAGCAGATTTTCATGCCAAACTTTGTCGAATGCTTTAGATATATCTAAGGCAATTGTTCTTGTTTCACCCCGCAACTCAATCGCTTTTTGCCATAAGTGAGTGACGTATGTAAGTAAATCGCCAGTTGACCTATATTTTCGAAATCCGTATTGCTTATTGTTGATAATTTTGTACTTTTCCAAGTACTTGGTTAGGTGATTGTTCACAACTCTTTCCATTACTTTTGATATCACCGGAAGTAGAGCAATTGGTCTATAGTTTAACGGATCTGTCTTTTTTCCTTTCTTTGGAATAGGTTGTACTGCGGCAGACTTCCATGATGATGGATATACTCCTTGCCTGTAAGACAAATTGAATAATTTTGCGAAAGTTGGGGTGAGTTCGTTGGCGCAATTTTTGAGTACTATTGCGGGAATGCCATCCGGACCCATTGCTTTGTTTGTATCCAGCTTTTTTAGGGATTTTCGTATTTCTCTGTGACAAAAGGGTACCTCTGGCATACTATGGGAAACCCTTTCAATGAACGGTGGAGTTTTTCTGTTTGGCACTGTTAGGTTGGAGTTGGAGGAAAACATTTGGGCAAGCATATTGGCTTTTTCCTCTGATGTTATGGCTAAGTGATTATTTTTATCTGTAAGTGGTGGTATGGATGACTTGGTGAAGTTAAATCCAACAGCTTTTGCAAGAGACCAAAAAGACCTAGAACTACTTGGACAATTCAGCAACCTGTTTTTTATTCTTTGATTGTATGTTTCTTTAGCGGAGTCAATAGTAATTTTGCAACTATTTCTGGCTTCTATAAATTCTGTGTGGTTTTGAGCGGTTTGTTGTCGTTTCCAAAGGTTATATGCTCTGTGTTTTTTCTGTACAGCCGTTTGACACTGGCTGTTGAACCAAGGTTTTGCATTAGCTCTACGTTTAGTTGTATGTGGGATATATGCGTCCATTCCAGATAAGATTACTTGTGTTATTTCATTACAGCAAATAGTGGGATCAGCTGTTTTAAAGCAAACCTCTTGCCATGGAAAATCCAGGTAATACTGTTTTAGGTCATTCCATTTTGCCGATTTATAGTGCCACATTTTACGAGGAAGTGGTTGTAGGCTTGGTGGGATGAGCATTTCGCACTTTATTATTATAAGTTTATGATCGGACGAACCAAGTGGAGCATCTACTTGAATTGTGTACGAGTCAGGATTGGTGGTTAAGAACAAGTCTAAAAGCGCTGCAAATTCGCCCCTTTCTGAGATACGGGTAGGTTCATCGACAAGCTGCGTTAGACCACAACTTATAGCAAAAGCTTCTGCTTCTCTGCCTTCGTTATCTGTTTTGTTGTGGTGTTTCAGCCAGGGTATATTGTGGACGTTGAAATCGCCTAAAAAGACAATTTCCGCCTGTGGATAGTTTGACTGTATACTATCACAGCTTTCGGATAATGTCGCGAAAAAGTTTTGGTAATCGGTAACATTTTTTGGTAACATGAAAATAACGTCCTTCTAAAAAATTGTTTTTGCCGCGTAGTCTAGATGAAAACAGCTTTCGGATGCCGAAAACCGCATCCAGAAAAATTATTCCAAAATTTGTTAAAAAACATCAATTTGCCATTGCAAACATAAATGACAATCAGGCCTATGATGTATCCTGTCCTGTTATTTTAACAGCTGTGTTAAGGCTCAACATCTATTTCTGTCTCCATTTTGACGTATAGAATAAACAGTGACAGATAACTTAACGTTGCTGTTAAAATAACAGAAAATGATACATCATAGGCCTGAATGCATCTAGTATTTCTAACATATAACAATTATATTTTTTTTATTAGGAAATCCTAATGTCTTTGGCAAAGCCAGTATTTCCGCCTATCTATAAAGCAAAACCTGGAAACGGACAAGCGGCATGGTTGCGTCATTTTGCCGACGAGCAAAACCGAATTGCAGACTTGAAAATGCGCGCTCGACAATTCCAGGATAAAGTGGCCAGAGAGACTGTGCGGAGGAAATATGGTGGACGCATCGATGCCGATTTCAATGTGTTTCCTACCAAAGAAATGGTCAAGGTAATAGAATTACATATATTTTGTTTTTGGTGATATTAATTCTGTATTTTTAGGCAATGAAAGAAACCGAATCAGTGAATATTGGTTTTGTTAAGATTCCAAAATCTCAGTTGAGTAGTGAAGAAAAACCAGGAATTGTCAATTTAGAATTAGATTTTGCCAATTTACAAAAAATTCTACAAACCCTGTGCTAAGTATTTAATTGTAATTGTAGCTTCAATAATATTAACCGCATGAGCTTTACTTTTTTAATAAACTTAGGATCAAGGCTAGTACCTTTACTAAGTATTGTTCTATTTTGAAAAAATGTTTAATTTTATGTAATTCTGTTTTTTTATTCTTGTTTATTAATAAAATTATTTTTTACAAACTGCAAACATTCTAAGGCCAATATTCTTTAGCCCTCCTTCCCTTATGTCTAGGTAAATCTGGACGTAACGCTCTGGGAATATATTCTGGTAATCGAGCATCCAATGTTCGTGTCCATGGCTTCTCGAAGAGTTCGAAGAATCGCCTTTTCTTGTCCATAAGTCTGGTCTTGTGATCAACTTTGTATATTTTTTCCCAGGCATAAACCTCATCTAATTCTTTCAGTCTTGGGCGATTGGAGGTAAGGAATTTGTATTCTTTTTCTAACCATCTTCTTTTATCTTCATCCTAAAAAAAGTCTATTAAACCTAAACGAAATAAATTTTGTATGTCAACTTTCACCTCATAATCGGCTGCTAATTTCTCTTCCTGACTCAAATAAGGTCTCAAATTAACCCCCAATCGTTCACTAGGTGCATTACTATACAGTTTAACTAAATTTTTCAAAACTTCTTCATTGAATCCAATTAGTTTTCCTTCTTGTATACCTTCATACAATTTGTATTCATCACTAGCCCAGCATATATTTCTTTTGGGATTTTCTGTGGTATTTTTTGAGTGCAACAAAATAGTGTTCAGCTGATAAATGTAAAATTGGAAGTCCTTTCCATTAGTAAGCACAGTTTGAGTAACCATAGGGTATGTTATGTCATTGAAAGTTGTAAAACCTAAATGATTAGCTTGCGAATGGAGCCACGCATATGAAGACAATATAGCTTGATGATGCGATGCTTCCTTGGTGTCATTTACGTCTGGAAAATGTTTAACCCTTTCTAACAAGTGGCCAGTTTGAAGGTACGAAGTTAGGCCAAATGTATGAGAGTCGCCTGGCCAAAATCCTACACAACAAATTAGAAAATTGATGGCGTCAATTTATAGATGAAATAATTACCAGGTATGTTTGCTGCATGCCTATACTCCACCCCCATACCCAAAACTCTAGGATCATATTCAAAAAATGGCACATCTAATGATGGATTGTCGGCTTCTGAAGGCGACAATACATAGGGCAACGGTAATTCAGCTCTAGAAAAATAAATATTGGTAATAATTAATAATTAGGTGATAAAATATTCCACCTTATTGTTAAACTTGGAGATCCTACATAGGAAAATGTTTTATCCACTGGATCATTTTTGAATTGTTTCAGAAACTCGTGTCCTCCTCTCATTTTTTTAATACTTTCGTCTGGATCCATGCCACCAACTACCCAAGAAGATTCAATTCTTGGATCCAAATCCATCTGTCAAAAAAATAAAAAAAATAAACACCTTACCTTAAAGCTATTTATGTAATATTTGGTTTAATTAGAGGAGTCGGATTTTATGTAAAATTTCAAATAAATGTAGTTACAAATCAGGACAGGTTGTACAAAAATTTGTATGGATTATGATTGAAACATAGTAGTAAATATTCTTGACTAGACTAGAATTCTTTTGAGTAACACACAGTAGTGAAAGTTTGAAAATTGCTAATTACTTCCAAAACTACAAATGCGAATTATATGTTGTGAATAATATCCAAATACTTGATCATATAATAACTAATAGAAATAAACAATGTAACATGAAAATAGAAGATCACAATATTGCTGACCATAGAATCATATTTTTGGAGGTTAAAAAAATTTTAGTTGAAAATACTAAACAAAAAATTACAAAAAATACACTGGACACCAGAAAATGGAAAATCAAAGTACAGGAAAACATAGATGAGAATAATAGTAATAAATTTGAGACACTGGCAGCTCTTATAAACAATACAAAAAAAGAATGTATTAAGCAGACCATGATAAAAGTGAGAAATGATAATTTGTGGGTTACATATAAATGCATATATTTGAAAATTAAAAGAACGGGACCAATTAGGGAGATTCCAGGAAAACGTGAGCAGTACTGAATGGTCTTTGTAATAGAACTAATAGAAAAATGAATATAAATCGAGTAATAGATAAAGATGGAAAGATATACAACATAAGCAACTAAAATAAATAGCAGAATGGGAGTAACGTTTCAAGAAGAAGAAAGAGAAAGCATTTTACTACAACACACAAACATAACAGAAGTCGAAAAAACAATAAAAGAGCAAAAACACAGTTTGTTCTCCTGGTTTGGACAAAATAACAAAAAAAGACACTGAAACACTTTTTGACATTATCGGATATAAAATAGTAGAAATTATCAACCACATCCTAGAAAGTGGACAGTATCCTGAAGAGCTAAAGACTGCAAAAATCGTGCCAGTATATAAAATTAAATACGCACTTTATCTTCCATAGTCACCAGTATGGTTTTCAAAAAAGAACTAGTACACTTGGGGCATAGACCATATTTTTAATACCCATTTGGAATAACCCCATCCTTATTTATCAATCACGAATAATTATTTTAAAAATAATAAAAATTACCAACAAAAACGAACGTCGATTGCTAATACGTAAACAGGAATTTCCTAACTTAATTTTATTTGTGTGTTCAAGAAGCGACATATTTTTAGTCACTAGAACGACTGGTACTTCTAAATAGGTATTAAAAATTCTATACTACGTAGTAGTTAGGTCTATGCTTGGGGCAACAGTGGATCTTCTAGAATATAATATTTCAAGTGAACTGATACTGTGAATATTGCATTGTTGCAAGATAAGTTTTAAAAAATGGGATTTCAAGGGACATGTCATAACTTGCTGAAAACATACACAGTGGGCAAAAAACAGTGCACCCAAGTTAATGAAGAAATAAGCAGCTCTGAAAATGTATCTGCCGGTATTGCCCAAGGCTCAATACTAGGACCTTTAGAGTACCTTCTATATGTCCAAAGTCTGAAGTATGCTGGATTGAGGGCTAAATATGTGAAGTTTTGAGGTCGGTCAAGTTTGCCCCCCATAATCAACAAATTTCAAAAATAAATAAACCATAATTTTGCACACCATGAATAAAATTTTGCACACTCACACAACGAAAACTAGAGCAGTTTTTTATACAAGGGGCAAACTTGACCGTTCTCCCCCGTTTTTCAAAAAGTTGAAAGAATCTTGTTCTATTCCGTTCGGCTAATTTTGCACACCTATTTTTAAATTTTCCACACGCTTTTGGGGAAAATTATTGGGTATCAAAAATTTGCATTTTCCCCCAGTTTTTCAAAAAATTGGAAAATTCTTGTGCTACTCGGTTCGGCTATATGCCAAGTTACCAAACTTTATGCTTTTGTATTTTCCGAGATATGGCCTGCACTGGTAGCTACCCGTTAAAGATAGCAGTGCTCTGCGTTGTTTTTGAAAAATATACGAAAAAATGCAGAAAATAAAAATTTTGTTTATGAAAATGGTAGCATTTAATTTTTTTCATAATCACCCTACCACTTTACTAGATGGTGCACTGCTATCTTCAACGGGAAGCTAGCACTGCAGGCCACATTTCGAAATCTACAAGAACACAAAGCTTGGTTAACTAGCATTTAATTAGCACCTAATTAGCACTTAATTATTCCAATATGAAAAACTCCACCAACCCCTTCTTTCATGGAAACTCAATATACAGTGTGTCCGTAAAGTAACGGATAAATTCATTATTTTGAAAACTGTAAAACTTTTGAAAAATCGCTCGGACACGTCAATTTTGTTTTTTTGTTTGAAATTTTTTGATATATTTTTCATTACACAGGATGTCTCAAAAATAGCTCCGCTGCTATCAACTTTGTTTTTTCAAATGGATCACCCTGTATATTATGACATTTATGGATTCTTTTTGGGAAATTTTTCACATACTTCATAGTTCATGTACAATGTTATATACCTAAGGCGTTTTCTGGCGGGGCGATTGGTTCGAACTACAGTTTAAACCAATTTGTAGATGACGTCATCACTTGTTAACGCGAGAAAATAGAAGGTTTGAACCACAATCTTATGGCAACGAAGGACAAGCCATAAATGCGATTCGAACTTTTTTGAACCAGGTTTAATGTGACGTCACTGGTTCAACGCAAGAATTTACAGGTTCGAACCTAATTGAACTGGGTCGAACCAGTTCCACCGCGAGAAAACAGCTCTACCTTCAACTGTTTCGGAAATATTGACAGTTGAAAATTGATTTTTTTGCAACTTTTAACAGGCTGTGAAACCTGAACAGTTTATTTTAGAGGAAAATTGATTTTACATCCCTATCTTAGATTTTCATAAACTATCATTTGACACCAACTTTGAAGTTAATCCGTGATTAAAAATTCTGGTTAAATTTAAGTTAAGGTGGGGTAAGTGCGACCAGAAATTTCAATAGTGTCAGTTCAATGTAGTATCAAAATTTTATTTATGCGAATTGAACTTTCTATTCTTGAACATAAGACACCCAAATAGTTCCATTTAAAGCCATTTCATCAAAACCGTCAAATTTGTACGATAGATGTATATTTTTCTGCTTGCATGTGATTGCACTTTCCCGAAGCCATCGGGAAAGTGCAATCAGATGAAATATTCTTTTAGAATAAGTAAAATAACTGTGCCAAAACCACTAAAAGTTATCATTTATGTTAGAAGAAAATAAAGAAATTGTTAAAATACATGTCTGTAAATAAAAAAATATTGTTTATTATAATCTTTATTGAAGCCTATTGTTATCAGTAAATATAAAGATAGCATAGAATACAAAGTAGGAGAGTTCTCGCACTGACAACCTTATTATCTTTTGTTTCAAATGATGGATTATAGATTGAAATGTTGCAAGAAAAAAGATGTCAATAGTTTTTGTTGTAAATCATGTCTGGGAGTGTTCCATCCATCATGTATGGAAAGATATAAATCAGTAAGACTAATTTATAGAAATACCATATATTGCTCTGAAGAATGTGCTGAGAAAGATCTGTTAATTGAAAAAGCAGAGACAGATAGAGAAAAACAATTTCAAGAAATGAATCAGGAAACTTTGGAGCTTAAACGAGAGCTTAGAGCCAAGCAATTACATATCAAAAGAATGGAAAGACGCACCCAAGATTTTGAGAACGATATATTTGAGGACGAACAACGAAGTATAGAGAAAATTAATGAACTAAATGATAGTATAAATAAATTGAAATTGGACATAGTTAAATTGAACGAGGAATACAATGCTTTCGCCTCAGAAAAGGTTATTATGCAAGAGGAGTTGAATAAAGCGAATAAACAATACCAGGAGCTTATGGAAGTAAATCGTAATATTATTGACTCCATCAGAATATTGGAGGCTGAAAATAAAATTTATCAGAGGGAAATTGAACATTTCAAGGAGCAAGCAGAGTTGATGATTGGACCAACCATCTCCCAGAACTCACTTATTGTGGAGGAACGCCCAGTACACAGCCTGTTAAATCCAATATAAATATAAATCCAATATAAATGAAGATAGGTGGTAGACGCTTTTTACTCATTGGGCGTCGTACGGTGAGATACCACCATGCCAGAATTGAGTAGAGCTAAGTGGTATCACCACGTTCCGCTACTGCGCTGGCAGTCCGGTTCCAACAATGAGTAACAGATAGCATGATGGCGCCTCCAGGATCAAAATATTCCGGAGGTAAAATACCCGACCACTCGGATCTCCGGGCGTCGGGTGATCCTGGGGGTCCTTCATGCAAAGATATAAAGAGAAGATCAAAAACTCAACTCAGAATTGATTTTAGCAATATAAGAGGAATAAGTACAAATATGAATTCAGTTCACCAACATCTTGAAGAACAAAGACCTGACATCCTTGTTCTCACTGAAACTAAAATCAGTTCTGCAACACCTATTGTGAACTATCTTTATCCCGGCTATGACCTACACCACCGATTTCGACATAATTTTGGGATCTGTGTGTACATTAAAAATGACCTTTCATGTCATCGAGAGGAGAAGCTAGAACCAGCGAACCTTGATATCATATGGCTAAAATTCACCTCAAAGTCATCGACCAAGTTTATCTGCTGCCTCTACCGACCGCCATCTAACACCTAGTACCAAAACTTTTTCGGGACATTATCCGAAAGCTGTGATAGTATACAGTCAAACTATCCACAGGCGGAAATTGTCTTTTTAGGCGATTTCAACGTCCACAATATACCCTGGCTGAAACACCACAACAAAACAGATAACGAAGGCAGAGAAGCAGAAGCTTTTGCCATAAGTTGTGGCCTAACGCAGCTTGTCGATGAACCTACCCGTATCTCAGAAAGGGGCGAATTTGCAGCGCTTTTAGACTTGTTCCTAACCACAAATCCTGACTCGTACACAATTCC